GGAGGTTTATATCGCTTACACTTTCACTCTATATTTTACTGTTCCACCAATCAAAATCTGAGGAAGATAGAATTTCTACAATAGCACTTTCTGTAATATTCTCACACAGCCAAATCATTAAACAGTATTAAGACATTTTATAATCGTCCGAAATGCGTCACGAACCATTCTTTGGATACAAACATTACACACGCAAATGTTTATACAATAATTCCCTAAACACACTGTTTCAACAAATATTAACTTCCACAATTCCGTTGATAAACAAATCATTCTTTACCATTTGTAATCTGCGCCCAATCTTAATTAAACTTAAATTGAAATCGTTCTGACGATTGTATGTTTGTTAAGAGCAACGAGGGAATTAGCATTTATTCAATAATTAACCAGGATGGCTGCAGGTTCGTATTTTACTTTTGTCCCAACGTGGTAATTAATTTGCATACCTAATTACATGATTAATTACTTAATTATGCTCCCGAGGTAATTGTAGCTGTGTCGCTCGTTGGGCGGTAACTGGCAATCGAAACCTCGAAGTGCATTATGGGTACATCCTGCAATATTGTGGGAACATAGTGGTTTTAGTTATTTCATCTAGCCTGATTTTAATAAAGTTAGAAATAATTGTTATAAAACTCTTCTGGTAGGGACTCAAAAGAGCTCCAAATCGTAAATATGTAATATCAAGTGCGTTTGCTTTACAAAACATCGATTTATTATATCATTAATTGATTGTGACCCTAGCATCTAATAGGGTCGTTAAGGTTCACAAATCCAGTGATTATTAATGATTGCTCTAAAATTCCGCTTTTAATTTTAAACACGTCCAGGGATGAATACTTATGTGTAATTTAAACTTTGTCATCTTAACTTACAAAATGTACGTATTGAAATCATATCTTTGTCATATTATTGCATTGTTTTAGTGTTTTTACTCGTATATCCAGTAGCTTTGCGTCAATGACTTTTATATAAAAAAAAAATTGAACTCACCATACATAAACACGTGTAAAATTACTATACAATAATAGTATTTTGACATTCAATAACTCCCAAAGACTACGAAATTAATTTTGTCATATTCCAAGAAATGCTAAAAGCACATCACTATATTGTTTTGGTAACGGAACAACGTGTCGGGTTAACACCAATTTACTTTCTAATTGAGATTTCCATTCAAATGAACATCTATGAATGGCGTCAGTCGGAAAGTGTCAAGTCAAATTTGGAGTTCTAGGTAATGGCAATTATAAGTAGCTGTACTCGGAAATACTTAATGGCGCTTGTAGAAGGCCAAGCTGTTATTTTAAATTACGTGTACAAGTACAGTGTACTTAAACTTAGGACAAAATATAAGCAGTGTGGCAAACGGTGGGTAAAGATTGTTTTATATTGCCTAATATATTTCATTAATTAATTGTTTGCAAATACAGCTCAAAAACATTTATGACTCTTGAACCCTAAAATATACACACTACCAAAATATAATGCAAATAATCATATAATTTTGATACATTTTAAAGATTTCACAAGAGCTGTAAAACAGAAGTTAACAACAAAAGTTGAAATTGAACGCAAGAAGCTTAAAAAGCATATAGGTACTCTATTTATTTTGAAACTTAAGATTTAAAAAGTACTATTCAGAATTAATCACTTTTATAAGCTTTATAAAAAGAATAATAATTCTATAAAATTGTTTATCACGGTATATATCAAACAAATCATACCAAAAGTTTTACTATCCAGATATTCTGTTTTGACATGAATATACATTTTGTTACACAAAATTCAATTTAAAGCATCATGAAACACTTTTGGAAGTTACGTAAACGTAATCAATGGAAAACGTAAAGAAAATGGTCTTTTTTGAGTCAATTAGTTTTGATTCAATATAGAACACTTCCTGCGAAGATTCACTTTTGTCTTGACTATTGTCACTATACCAGTGTATATTGTAGTATTAGTATCGTGTTTTGGTGGAGGTAGTCCTCCAATAGAAAGGAAACTTTCTTACATCTTTAAAGTTTCGTTAAATAAGCGAATTAACCTGGGCTCTGACTCACATGGTCCCGAACTTATCACAAGGTTGTCATTGGCGTTTGCTAAGATTCGAACTGGATTTCATGATAGCTGTGTCCTTTTAAGCACGTTTCCAATCAAATATTGAACAAATATAATTATTTAAAAGCTTTTTCTGATAATACCACATAGCTTTATAGAACTATCTAATTGGACTGACTTCATGTAGAATCATGTAACAAGACTGCGTGATGGAGCAAGAATTAACACGTTCACGGACGCGAAGATGCAAATTGTGGAGAATACCGTGAATTTAATTAATTGTATAACATAGAACGGTGCATGATTTGGTAATTATTTGACTTGCTATACATGTAAATTTAGTACCTCTTCACTCTTAACTACATATGTAGGGTATCATTTATTGTGTGTATTGTGAAACGAGAATTGGAGTAACATGGTAAAGTCATGGGTTTTGGAAATAGACCGATGTTTGGAAAGACAGTATATTCTTTAGTTACACAAACGGGTACTACCTTTTCTGTTGTGGTTTATAACAATAAACAACATAGAAAAACTTTGTGACAAAGAAAATTAAGTACAGGCTAGTGTGAAACATAGAAAAACAAAATATTTGAAACACAAATAGTTTGCTACTTAACATACAACAGCGGGTAATGTATTAAAGGTAGGGGGGACTCAATCCTATGTACTGAAGTATGTAAAATATTTAGTTTCAATACATATATTAAAGGTATGGATGTCATTTGATGGGTTGGACTGAAATTACTTTCAATTGAATTAAACCAAAATATTAATCTTGTAGGCCTACTTGATACTTGAAAACAATGAGTTGTAAAAAATAACAGATATTTCACGTACAACATCCACAATCCCATAGACGTAGTCTATACATTGATGAATATTCCTGGCTACCGAATCGTCTGATCTAGAGTAAAAAAACTAGTCCTAGATTATCTAACTCCATTTTATACTAATTCTTTATTCAAATTTTGGTTCAAATGTGCTCAGTTACGTCCGTCTTAGTTAGTAATACTAAACAACAACAACAACATGCTAATACAATTGAATAAGAATAAATCGCAAACAAAACGAAGTGGAACAAAGAGGCGACTCGGTGGCGCTAGGGTGTAGCCAGTCCCGAGCAAAAACTACATTTAATAACTGAATAAATATTCCGTCAGACTTTTGTATATTTTGTGACGGGTGTAAAATCTCATCTCAAGTCTTAATTATCGCGAAATCATAGCCTTCGCATCATTAAGTACTAACGAACTGGTCTCGAGGCAATTATAATGGGCTACTGCCAGCAATTGGTGCGTTTACAAACGTTTACGTTTTTTAAATAATAATTAGAAGAAATCCCAGGGCAATGGTGTAATTATGGGGAATAAAATGGGTTTAAAACATGTTATATGAGTATTAGATTGGGGCAGGAAGGTTTGAATTTAAAATATACAGACGATCAGATCAATGTACCAGTAAGGGCACTGCAGATGAAGAAGTGAAATAATGTACAATATATTAGCATAAATATGATGATACGGAATATGGATGCAATGTTGCCAACTATCTATAGGATCCAATTGTTGTTTCAAACAGCTGTTACATTCTAATTAGACAAAATATTTACTTGAAATGTACATGCTACAAGGGGGAATGAACATGATTGGACATGAACATGAACATAGAACATTATTGGACTCCCTGATCAAAACTACACATTGTGAATGAAAAATATTTAAATGCATCATATTTATAAACATCTTGTAGTATTTAATATGTTTACATGCAAACTATGTAAACTATGTCGTTTGGTATGCTTGCATTTCATTGTTAAAATTATAATAACTGATAAGAGGTTTACTTCACTGTTCCTAACGCAATCATCAAACAATAACACGATCCAATAACGCACCAAAGAAAAGTTATTTTAGTTTAGCTTGAACAGTAGCCTTTATATGGTCAGTGTACAAAGATACATAACGGCACAACAACGCAATTTGTTTAGGTTAAATCTTAACTACAATGTTAATTAGAAGAATCTCAGTAAATATGTTTGTTTTATGTTTACAATATTGTAGATTTGGTTGTGTTTATGGTAGGTTTTAACAATTAAGGCAATTTCTAGTATATTTTATATTTATCTAGCATGCATTTGTGAGTAAAGATTTATTATTTATTTTGTATTGTGAGTGACATAGTCTATTGCTTTGCTTAAAATGACCTAATAAATCATTGAATCATTGAAATCGACTAGATTATTTAGCTGGCAGTTAAAATACTGTACCTTGAGCAAACGCGGTAATACCTATTATTGTAACAGGCAAGTTGACTATCGGTATGACATTTCTTAAAAAAAACCTTAGGCCTATTCAATTGTAAATAGTCTATGATGCCTTTTTTTTTACTTTATAAAACATAAATTTTAAATAAATCGCCAGACTAGGATTACATTTAGGAACCAATTTGTACGAGTACCTACCTAACCGATCCAAATTTTTATTTATTTTGTAACTATTATGTTAAGTTATGTCCACCCAACCATCGAGGACAGTACTAGAAATGTAATAGGCTATACGCAAATGTGTTAAAATGTAGGCTAGCCCACTTGGTTTATTATAAACAACGTTACTCTAGACCTAGACAATTAATTGCGCAAACTAGGGGATTGCTCGATATGAATCGATCTGTATGAAACTATCTTGTTTATTCAATTGAAATAATGTATCTTAAGCGACACAATTATACGGCTAACTATTGAAGGAAATTCTAGATACAGTTAAATGATATTGTACGCGCATATCCTTCCTAATTCTCGATTGTTGGCCATACTAGGAATAGGCCTACTCGTTTTGTAATTGAACCGTAAGTTTCACAGTAAGCTACACAAACACCTAATTTCCTACACAATTCACAGTCCTTATCTACACTGTTATCACCGCTAGGCGCTCACTCACCGCTAGACGTGTCTCCTCGCAGAGGACTGTCGGGCGGAGGCCCACCCTCGTCCTCGGACGTCTCGCTGTTGCTGGAGTGCAGGAATATGTCGTGTCTGCGAGGGTGGATGTTGTACTGCTTCACAGAGAAGTCCAGAGGTTGCGGATCAGCCTCCAACGTCCGCACCGGGTGTTGCAACAACATGGGCATCTTGTCTGGCGGACTGTTGTTGTTATTGTTGTTGATCTTGTTGTGATGCTGTTGTTGCTGCAGCCACCGTCTTATCGCCGCGGATCGCTTGAGGTCGGCCAAGGCGGGCCTCAGCCAAGCCTCGTTGGTCCCCGTCTCTTCCACAATGGTGCCGGTTATACACACGCCACTACGCTACAACGCTACGCTACTGCACTGCGCGGCCCGAGCTTCATGCGGACTACCACCGGAGTGAATGAAGGGCCGACCGTCGCCGCCTGCCCGGTGGTGGGGGAAGGGGGTGGAGCCAACCAATCAAACTGCGCGCCGATAAATATGCGCACCTAATAAAACGGGATTGAATAAATGCGATTTATTCCTTCTTATTTTCTTTGCGCTATTTGCCGGCGCCTTTTTCTGCGGAATAAATTTGATTTCAATAACGAGAGGTTGGATACGATACCAGGTGTTGCCCCGAGTGACCCCGCACCACTGTGGACTTTTACAAATTTTGCATCCTGGACCTTTTGTTTGTCCAGCCTCCCCCTCGTAGCGGGGGTTGAAATATTTCACCCTTTGTGTGCATAATACAAATGTATGCGAATAAACTTATTTTCGGCCCGCTAAAAATAATTGTGAGTTTTTTCGTAGGGGTGTAGCTAAACACATTTTTAGAAATTGATTTATTCATATACTTACCAGTACAAAAAAAATTATATTGAGCGAAAATTGAAAACTGTCGTTAAAATTGTTTTGTGTTTAGCGTTATTTAGTTGATGTATTATTTATCCTCTAACATTAACCCACACTCTTAAGGGTGGAGACGAGTTTTCATATGTTTTAACTACTCTATTTGTGGGTAATACAAATATACAGTCCACAAATTACTAATTTTTTAATCACTAATAATATATATTTTATAATTTTCTTACCCTAGTACATTGTGTATGTATTTTAACATATTTTCAAATTAAATATCGTTACTGACGCTTTATGCAAACCAATAAGGTTGTAGTTTTATTACTAAGTGAAAATCTGGTACTTTCGGTAAAAGGGTACATGATTCATCAATGTTGGGAATAACTTATTGGCTAAGATATCGAAAATTGGCAGGCAAACGATATTAATAACTCATCAATGTTGGAATAACCCTAATTTCTAAATTTCTGGAAAAGATTTATCCTTTTGTAAGACATTACACATCCGACTGACTGTCACATAACATTTATTACACATCTAGATGGGAATATGTCTAAATTAAAGAAGATGTTTAGAACAATTGTATTATTTTGTGACAACTTTATCATTCGACTTCACGTTAAATTACACCCATGAGTAAGTTTGGGAGATACTTGGAAATCTTTAAGTATCATCGCAGAAAACTATAATTATTTTGTGACAGCTACCAACCTCACATGAGCACATGACTAGGGTGGGATGATACTAATTATAGTATTGTACTGTAGTTTGAAAAATTTTAGGCTATTTCAACGTCGCTGACTCACCAGCATTGATATTATATGTCATTGTATGTTATACAATAAATATAAAAACATTCGGATTCAAGTCAATTGAGATGACTGACGCTTCAACCATAAAACATAGTACCTTAGTAGATTTCCCATCCTTAGATCTGAAGCCAATGTTATTGTTAGTTCTGTCCGGGTTTCTGTAGATGTCGTGTTTTGTTTACAATTTGTTTATATTATTTTAGGGTTAGTTTCTCATTATTTGTGTCTCACAGTTTGGTTATATAGCTGGTGAACGAGTTTATTGTTTATGATTTCATAGCTTTATTTGGTTGAACGAGGTTTTAAATTACTGAAGTAACAAGAAACAAATTGTAAACAAAACACGACATTTTACAGAAAACCGGACAGAACTGACAATAAAATTGGCTTCAGCTGTTCTATAAGGATGGAAAATCTATTAAAGGGACTATGTTTTATCTGTGCTTCAACGTTAGGATGACCTTTAAATTTGTTATGTTTTAAATATAACTTAGGCCTACTCAATTTTGTAATTGCTTAATCAACATACCGTACGGCTCGAGTTAGACGACATCCATGTCTCCTAATAACGGTCAGAATAAGATTGAAATATTTTTGGGAAAATTACAACTATTTCGTAACAGTATTTGTCTGGCTTCAAGTCATATTAAATCAAAATTCAAGATTTAAATAAATTTCAACTTAGAACAAATATGACTAACAGACATCTTTAAAATTGATAAAATTTCAAATATTTCGAAACAAACCGATTCCCAGGCGACACACATGACTCACTACAAATCGCAATAATGTCACAAGACTGTTCCAGGTAACACTGATAATTAACGGCAATATGATCAGCATACCTGCTTACATTGGAATTGCTATCACACATACTCACGTACACTCACACACACACTGACACAACATTACACTGATTCTCACGGTAACCGCACCAGTGTCGCAACTAGACCTGACTTATGATTTCAATGGTCGAGTCACATAGTCATAAAGGCGACGACTGTGTTTGCTCAAGTCTTGTTTCATTGACATTTCCTGCAATACTTGTCGTCATTGGCCTACTTTAATTGGATATGTGATCTATTGGTTTGATTTTGAATGAGCGTTCGTTGCATAGATCGCAATTTGTGGAGTTTCGTGGTGTTGAGTTTTAAGTTGAGGTTAACTGCAATATGTTACGTATACACAAGTTAATAGTGTGTTGAAAAAAAGACAGATTGTGTAAAGAACGTTCCAACTGATACAAAAATAGGGTTGTGTCTGTCTCCAATCACGCAAAATGGCTGAAAATTTGCTAAAATATTATCCACACTTAATTACCTAGGATTTCGAAATTTTTAAGTAGGTTCTTTTAGTAAAAGTGTTTTTCATGACTATTGGAAGTGTATTAAAAGTTGCTATTGAATGTACGAAAACGTAGAATACTATATCCATAGTGGTAATTATAACAGATATTCATATTAACAGAAATTTTGATTCATTTATTCTAGGATCACTCTCCGTAACCAAGCACAGGGACAGAGTGGCTATATTCAAAACAGTCTTAAACTTAAAAAGATATTTCTCTCGAATCTAAAAAATTGTATTTGCTAATTTCCCACACAATTATAACCCAGCCAAAACCAATTACAGTAGTTACATTTTTTTTCAAGTCATGCTAACTCCTTATATTTAAGATCTTAAGATAGTGCGTGAAATATGTAAAATCACGCTTAGTCTTCTGTTTACACGCTGAATTTTGAGGTATAGAAGAAAAGTTGTATACTTTGTCATACTAACAATCCAAGAAATTAAATAGTTTAAAGGCACTTTGCACGCGTGTTACACATTATATTTTCCCTACAGTTACTATAATCAAATAATTAGTCTTTCAAACACTACCCATGGTTTTAGGTTAGGTTAAATGTGGTTAAATCCAAGCGTTGGACGAAATAGGAAACGTTGCACCAGCTGATCGCAGTCGTAGTATCTTTAAGCGTTGCCAACTTATTTTCAAGCATACACATTACGTGCATAATAAAAGCACACCGTTTGGTGTTGTTTCGTTGAAATACTGGAGTGTGGCAAAAGAAAATAACACGGCAAAAGAGGGAAAATACAGCAATTAGCAACTTTGCGTGCTATAATCAGTACAAGGAAGCCCACTTTCTCAAGTAAATGTAGAAAACACAATTACTAATCATGCAGAGTTATTTGACCTTGAATAACAGATTTTAAGAGAAAATCGAAAATATTCCATATGGAAACACTGCAAAATCCAAGAACTGCTTAACAATGATGACAATAGATTAACTCCACAAATTCCCTACACAACAAAAGTGGCCAAAACCCTTGTCATACCAACCCCGTGAGTGAAATCCTTCAGACAAAAGAATAAGATTTGCTAATTTTAAGGGAGGTTCGCATTCGTATGTAAATACATCGAGTTCCTTGACGTTTCCCGAAACTGGGACCGAGTGTGCTTTGTTTGTGCCAAAAGGGATTTCTGGTCAGTTGGGGGAGGGGAGGGGGCTATTTTGGAATCACTAATGATGTGTCCAGCGGGGTGGTCAGCTGACGAAGAAAGGCCTTCAAAACTGACGTCTACTCTTCGTTATGTTCAGACAGATTGGAGAAATAAAAACACCAGGAGAAATAAACTAATGGCTGAAGTAGTTGGGGAATTGCCTAAGAAGGAAAATACGAACTATGGGCTATTGGATTAATTCAATTAATTTGTGTGTAAAATATACATTAGATAAATAAGTTTGCATGATATTAAATAATATTTTTACAGTTATAGTGTGTTTTTGCTAAGTTAAAAATACAATTTGTTTGGGGATATGAGATCAGATGGAATCATGATTTAAACTTCAATAATGATTGAGATATTTGTTTTGTTATTATTGTATTATTAAATTCAAGTTTTAAGTACAACATTAGCATAATTTCTTTTAATGTGCATCATTGTTTAAGTACAATTTTAGCATAATTTCTTCTATAATATTTGCATAATAATATTCAAGTTTAAGTGCAACACTTATATGGTTTTCGAATTAACCAAATGACAATACAGTAGGATGTTTTTGAATTGTGCTAACAGTATGTTTTAAATTTGCAATATATTGAGTTGGGATGCATCATGCAACATTTACAGCCTTTTAAAAACATTTTATAAATTTAAATTAAGTTTCTGGTTGATTTTCAAATTTAATAATAGCTCCATTTGATTGTAATATATTAACATTTAATAGCATTGTATAGCACCACAATGGAAAATAATGAACAATAAAAACACGTGAGCTTCTCGAAACTTTGTAAGCCCGCATTACAAAAGCCAATCCCCCGACACGTATGTTTATAAATCAAATAACATTTTCTAATACATGAACGGAAAGCCCGGGGCCGAGCTGAATTGCAAGTAGCGGAAATAATACACGAGAAGAAATAACGTTTAGGGCTGGAATAATTGAAGAAGGGGTGATTGGGAGGTTCCCCCTCCACATTTGCCTACATTACCATAGGCGGTGTCACCTCGGACATGCGCGGCGGAAAGTGAAACTTTAAAAAATATTCTTATTGGTCGTACAAGTTATTTTCCACCAATAAAAAATAGGGAGAGAGAGGGAGGTTATGACGAGAATGTGTATTGATTTTAATGACGGGGCGGGCGCAAGCGCGGGAAAAGTGGCAACGCCGCGTCGCTATGTAAACTGGCGGTTATCATACATTTATACATACAACAATCGCTACT